AAAAACAAGTGATGTTTCCTTTTATATATAAACCTCTGTTATGTTAATTTCGATTAATTTCCCTGATGAAGTTCGGACCAGATTGCCGAACAAAACGTTGGAATTACTCATTTCAATCTCTCTGAGATTTTGCAAATATAATTTTTTATAAAAATATAATGCTTCAAATTTCTTAAAATCAAAATTAACCGGTAAGCAACTGTTCTGACATCTAATAAGCTGAACTCAGACAATCACGACAGTTATCTAGTGAAGGGGTATTCACTGTTTTTTTTGCTTTTCAACGAAGTTCACTGTATACTCAATCAAATAATTGAAGCATTTCTTTGTTTAGCAAAATATATATAACAACTATACACATTTATAAAATCTAAAGTCCAGTGTTTAGTGGATTAAAAGATCTTACTGAGTAGTAGACATTCATATTTCTTTTCACTACCTATTCTCGAATCAGTTTATCTTCCTAACCATTAGTCAAGTGAGAAAGCAATTGATATGTTTAAGAATCCGCATCGTTTCTCTACAAAATGAAATTTAATACTACTCAGTGGTATTCAAAGATACTAATAACTATCTTGAAAATATTTTTGAACGCATTAGGTCACTGAAAACACCCAGTAAAAGCCCAGCAGTAACTGCTTACTAGTACCACAAATTCAAAGGAACCTATGCACTATCAGAGATTCATACTAGCATCATTCAGTGCTACAGTTATAGTCAATGAAGCTATGTTATTTAGGTTTAGTTCACCTAACTTAGTCCAAATCAGTTGGGACCTCACTGTCAATATTGATCCATAAAGAAGCTGGCGTTCCATTTTTTCCATGACTAATGATATATGGAATTCTATGTCTGTATTCTTAAGACAAAAGTATTTATGTGTATAGTCCTCCGATGAATCCGATTAAAAGGACTTTAATAAAAACAGTCTTATAAAATCCTACCTGCAGTCTACTAAATAACTGAATTTAGAATTTGTTTGAACGATTGAAGAGAGACCTGTTACCCAAATTTGGAGACGACATGTTTTCACGTAGAAGAAAATAAAACTTCAATATCATATTAAAGAAAACATTATATACTAATGACACAAAAGTTGACTTCAGTTCAGTGTGTACTGCAATGGCTAGTCATCTGTTACGACGACCACATTGCGAACTTGACGAAGAGAATTCAGTCTGCATCGACCCAAGGACTACCTAGACGCATGACATCAGTCCTTCTGGAAGTTAATGACAACTCCGGATAGCTCGATGGTTACATCTCTTACTGCAACACTTTGTGACACGGGTCCAAATTTCAGAGGGGACATGAATTCCTTCAAGTCTGCAGATACACCTTGCTGATGAGTACTAACAAGAATGAAACATAGGTCCACAGCATCTTGAAGATTGCTTCCATTCACCTAACATAAAAGTTAACCCCATTTACTTTTTTAGAATAAGATTTTTAATAGCTACAACAGGTTCAGCCTTACAGTTTAAAGAGATTTTTATATGTCTTACTGAGTTAATGTTTCAATATTCAGAACTAAAGTCCTAATGACGACTTCTATGCAATTCATCATCGTCAATTTAAAGCGGTGAACCTCTTTCAATACTGAACTCTCATTCTGTAATATCATTTAAATAAACTTTTTTTTTAAAAATAGACAAACCAAGTAATACAATTTGTTGATGGTTTGTTGTACTTATTCACGTACTACAGTTTGCTGTTATACTTCACATCACTAATTATAAACATTATTTAATATTCTAACTGATAATAATACTGTTAGATTATTTTTTATAGATAAATTCTGGTTATTTTCAACAACAAAAATGCAAACATATCAGTAGTGCACTTGTGAAACGTAATCACAATTTTTAATTTACAATTTGCCGAATTCAAAGTATTTCATTATTATTTTTGAAAATATCCTATGGATTATGGATGTGGATATTTTGTTTAGTCTTATATCTGTTTTTCCATAATCTTTCAAAATATTTACAGTTCTAAACTGTGCGTACAAAGGAGTTCTGTAAACTTTAAGATTGACAGGTATCTGCACAGCGTTGCTGCACATCAAAATTCAGCAAACTGTTTTACCCAGTTGTTGGAAAACAAAGATTTAAATGAAGCGGTTCTATCCATCAGAAGATAAATAAAAATCCGTATTTGATAATGATATTAATAACAATAAATAATGTAAGAAAACGAAAAGTGTTAACATATTAAAACTAATTACTTTAAAGAAACATAGTTGACTGCTTTTATACTAAATTTGACACTAAAAGAATTAAGCTTACTCAAAGAAATCTAGTATATCTTATTACTTAAAGCAAATGAAAGAGAAAAATGAGTTTAAATGATCTTTTTTTACGAGTTGATCACGGACTGATATCAGTTAGAGAACCATTGAAAACCAGGGAGTACTGGACAACTTCTGTTTCATCCTAGTTTGGGAATCATCGGCAGTTGTCCAGTACTCCCTGGTTTTCAATGGTTCTCTAACTGATATCAGTCCGTGATCAACTCGTAAAAACATAACAAACCCTTACAAACCAAACTTTAGAAAATTTAAATGATCTGTCGATTTTTGACTAAATATCTAGTGATCTTAGGACGCCCTACTTAAACAGACTATTCCATAACATTCAATGTAGAAATGCCAGATGTCTTAGGTGTCACCCTATCACTGTTTGTGACAATGCAAGCATATGCAATTGTGAAAGTTCTATAAATGCAACCATTTAGAGTTTCTAAATCATCAGTTCAATTTATTTCATAAGCACTGACAAGATGAATCTACCAGCAGGCACTCATTATTCCATCGATTTAATAAAAAGAATGGTAAAATGATTGAGACGAACAGTTAATGTTGTAAGATTTGTACAAAATACAATTTTCATGAAACTAAAACTCCTGAATTGGTTACAGGGTTTCATCATAAGCTGACATCAGTTAGAGAACCATTGGAACATGACAGGGACTACTGGAAAGCTGCTTCGTCCTAGTCTGGGACTCTTCATCAGTACGCACCCACCGGGATTCGAACCCAGGACCTTTTTGTTGCAAGGCGAGCTCGTATACCATTAAGCCACTGGGAGCAGACCCAATGGCCCAATACTTAAAACTCCTGAAGTTTGTATTACACTTTTGTTCAATTTATGTTTGCATAAAAGGATAATTGTAAGAGATGAATTTCTAACCACTCCAGTGAAGCAAACAAACTAGACTTTGAATTTATCATTTTAATTTTTGTACTTACTTTCTCCGTCTTTATTTTAGATACAGAAAATATACGTGTTGTTTTCATCGCTGTTAAAGATACTATACTACAAGCGAACCTCAAAGAATATAATCTAGTTTAATGCATATTTCATCGAGGAGGAAAAATTCGCAACTCTTAAATGTATTTCTTATTTTGTCAAGGCAAATGTGGAAACAAATTGAACCAATTTCGTCTGTCTCCGTTCTATTCGTCTTTATCTGTTTTTCGGTGTAATGACAAAGTGCATTTCTAAGTGTATAAATGAAAATAGGATCCCTTTTTAAATGAAGTTGAGTAAAAATAATTTCCTTCAAAAATCTAGCAATATGACTTTTATGAAAACGCATAATAATGTGAAATATATAACAGAAGCATAGATTGTTACGTTTTGCCAAGACAACTGTCATCAAATAATTAAGATCAGATCTACATATAAAGAAAGATTGTGTGGTGAACCTTTCAATATCTTGATAAATAAACTTAGAAAAAAGTTATGCAATTTTGTTACGTTATGCCTGCTTCTACGACTTCTGTTATGTTTAGAAAATTTTATTTTTTTCATCAGTGCATGCCTCACCTTACTCTTTTTGGCTATTTTATTAAAATATTTTTGATAGTTAAGTAACTTATTTTACTAACATTCTCTTTCTGGTTGAAATTCATTTCTGTCGAATATTTTGATCTCTAAGAATATTCGTGTATTTATCTTATAAGTTCTCAATGCTTTTAATACTTGATAAATTTAACCGCTTACATCATTCCGAACCTATGTTTCCTAAAGTTCTCATCAATTACTTCTTGTCAATGCGAAATAAGTATGTTCAACTTTTTATTATTCAACTTATAGACAGTTGAAAAGGATCTGAGAAATAATAAAACTGAGTTAATGTTATTCTGCTACATTTATTGTTCTTGCTTTGTTCAATTTTACAGTCCTCCCAGGTTTCTCAATGGTTCTCTAACTAATGTCAGCTCATGATGAAATCCTGTAACCAATCAAATCCCTACAAACCAGCACTTGAAAAAAACATTTGCATATCTTTACCAAAACTTAATTTGTGCCTCCTTAGATAACAATTTAGAATTGTTGAGTTTCGTGTCACCAGTCAAAATTCCTGAAATCTACAGAAACGCTCGACATGATATTCACAGTTTTTCCTAAAGAGGGTATAATTAATTCTGTCAATAGATATGAAGTGGTAACATATTTGATCCACGCTAAGCGATTTTCAGTTTTCAGTATTTAATTTACTAGAATTCGACAATTCTTCATTTATACATCTTTTTTTCGATTATTTTTTACACCTTTTAAGTTTAGCCATTTAAAAGTAAAATACCTCTTGATTATTGGCAATGTGACTTTTCTACTTAGCCCAAACAGTCATATCTATCATTCAAAATGTTATGCTTATAAAAGTGAACTCTTTGTTGAGATCTAAGTGGTTTAACTGAATACTTAAAACTAATAATGATAGTAGAATGTATGGTACTGTTAAAATACATAAGCCAGGTTACCACATACGACTAACAGTAGACTTCAGAAATTCATGTTTACTTCCATTGGGTAATGTCCCTCTGCTGTACATTAATTTATCTACACTTGCCTCTGATGGTTTCAAAAATATCCTTATATATACTATTAAAAGTTATAAGAAAATCCAGACATTTATAAAGCAAGTTAAATTAAATAGTTGTTTCCCTGGATTGAAGATCTGTGTACGAAATGTTGAGAAATGTCACAATTTAGGTGATATTATGCGGGATCTTGAGTCAAGTGAATTTCTTAATGGAGTATCAGACTTCTTACTCGCTCCTGCCGATCTGATATGTGGTGTTTCTCTGACGAAGTATGTGCAGAAACATAAGGAGCGGCGTGAAAAAATGCCAAATGCCATACTCACCCTTCTGTTACCGTCTCTCACTGAGGTGATAAGCCCGGTGCAAGCTTCTGAGTTTAAAGTTAATGTTATATTTTCAAGAACTAATAATAATCGTCTGATAAACCTTTTCCATGAGTCTCAAGGTGAAGTTTCCCCAATTCTCGTAAGCGATGTCATGAAAAGCGGAGAGGTCATTGAGTCATCTCAGTTAATGGATATTCAACTGGCTGTATGCAGCAACCACATACCACCATTATTTCAAGTAAGTTATTGTTATGATTTCTTGTGTTTCATAATCTTAAATTTATAGGGTTCTGTTTATACTGAGTATTAATTTTACGAAACTCTTTGTAATGATGAATTCTTACGTAAATACTTTTTTCAAGTTCTCCTAATACCTAGATTTCTTAGTGTGATTTTTCTAGTGTTAGAAAATGAAAGTATTATAAGAATAAGTAGATAGTTTTGTGTAGATTCGTATTGTATTCTTCCTGTAACTTGTCAGCCTACGTCTCTTCCCAATGTTAATTTATGTTCTGTGAAGTTTATTTGTGGTGGTGACTTTGGAATAAATGCAATATTATTGGTCACAGGAATGTCCAGATAAACAGTTACCAACAAACATGATGAATAATTATGAGAAGTTGCAAGATTTTCTGTCAATATGTTTAATGTCACCTGGTATTTAAGTGGCTTACGGTTTCATCTTTATACAAGGTGTTTTCTGCCTAGATAGTTTTTTCCATGTTCTAAGTAAGAGAGGAACTGTTATCAAGTCCCCTATTAGATGTAATCATGAATATACAATTAAAATCACAATGGTGACCGAGAAGATACTATTATCTTAGTACGTGTGAGCTCTAAGTCAGCAAGAGAATGACTAGAAGCATGACGAAAGCAACAGGCACGTAGAACTTAACTGAATTTCCAAAAGTTCGGCAGTTCAAGTTGCTATACTTTATAAAGGACGCATAAAGGTAGGGGAAATACGTAGTATAAAAAGCTATAACAAATGGAAATGTACACGATAAAGAAGTTACTTGGAGAATAATGAGAATTTACTGCCTGACTGACTGGTTTCAACATAGAAACCAGTGGATCTGGAAAATCAGAAAGAGTGAATGCATCTGCACCATTAAAACTATTTCGAGCCGTGTTACTAACAACGTGTAGCCATCGGTTCTTAGCATCTCGAAGACCCCAGCTAGGTATTAGAAAGAACAGTCAACTAATATTCAAACAAGTAGATCAACAATGGGATACAACAGCAGTAAGTGACAGCAGAGTTTTACGTCACAACAAATAATTAGTTCTAAAAGATCTAATAGAATTCAAGGTTGAAAGCAGACATCTCTACTCTCAATTTCACCTGGATGAAATTCAAATGAAAAGAAAGTGCAAATATGTTCAAACTGTCAGTGAAATTAATGTTAATAATGTCATGGACACCGGTGATAAAATATCCTTGGTCGAATACCCAAACCTAGAGAACAACAAACATTACCTCCATATGTTATATATTTTGTGATAACAAGCGATCCTGCTTGCGAGTTCTGTCGTAAAGAAAAGCGGATTGGAATAGTATCCTAACAGATGCCGGTGAAATACGTTTGTGATTGAAGCTGTTGCTCGAAGAGTTGGGAGATTATCTTAAATTTGTGGTAATCGTGTCATGTCTACCTTCTTTCTGCTTGGATAAATGATTGATATCACTAGTTTTATGTGCAGCACATCCTAGTTTACCAAAATTTTCGTCTTAAGATGAAATCTGTTGTTTCTCAAAGACTGTTTATTGAGTATTTTAATTATTATTATTTAGACAAAATCTAAGTAGTATATGGGCGCCAAAAGATGCACCACATGACACCAACAAAACAGTAGATGAATAGGAAATAAACGGTATCATGAAAATAAGCAAGCTTACTTATCAAGAGCATTTTAAAGAGCGTTCGTTACTTTATTTTACTTCCCGAAAGGGAGGAGAGGAGAAAATCGCAGCGTGTTTGCCATTAATTATGATTCTCATCTATATCTCATAACGTCCTGAGCCACTGATTCGAATTACCTCTTGGGTTCTATTAACTGAATCGTGGTGCACCAGCAGGTACTAATCCAACATCTGTTCTTCATTCCACAGCACCACATAGTGCACTGACCAACCCCTCTTTCTGCACTGTCCCAGAGCTAGCGAACAGCAAACTGTATGGAAGCCACTAGCATGAAATTTGTAGTTCACACAATTACTTCAGTAAACAAGCTTGTCCATTACTTCTAACGGTTCATCTGCGAGGTTGAGTGCAGATCCAGTAAAGCACACACTGTACTTGCAAACGCTGGTTGCCTACTGATTAAGTGCGATTAAGGCAGTTTGTATACTAGCACACAGTAAGACGAAATCGTCTGCATACTCAAGGTTAAAAAATCTTTCTGCAAACAGTAGATCTATACCACAACCACCAGGTACATTTTTTAAGTTATCTCTAGAATGTCATTACTGGAAAGTTAGGAAGAAATGATGAGGTCTAACAACCCTGCCTAATCTAATTGTTAGTTGAAAACAGTGTTGATAGCTGGTGATCACCCTCACCTCACGTGAAGTGCTTTTATATAGGAATTTCAGGATGTTGACAAAGTTGTCAGGAACATCTCTCTCTAACAGACGCTTCCATAGGACACCCCTGTCCAACGAGAGGGAAACAGCCCTAATATCAAGAAATACGGTTGTTAGCCTGCAATACATGGGACGGCGTTCTAGCAAATGAAGAAGAGTGAACACCTAATCAGTGCACCCACAACCTGAATAAAAGCCGCTCTGCTCATCCCAAATCAGTTTCTCACGTGTTTCACAAAGCATGCGAAGCAAGACAACATCCAATATTTTAGGTGCAACTGGTTACACTAATAGCATGATAAATATATGCATTCAGAAAACCTTTTCTTGATGTAAGTACATTTATGGCTTTCCTAAACAATTCAGTCAGTTCCTTGACTAGGATTTCACCACCATCTTCAAAAGAAGCCGTCAATAAGTCGTCTGGACCTAGTGCCTTAGAGTGTTTCGGTACTTGGAGTTCGTTTTAAATCTCCACTTCGTTAGGTGGATCAGTACTAACCGACCATGGATCACCGTGGTTAAGAATATTGAATACTGGCACTGTGAGCCAACTCAACTGTTTTTCAAATTGACCAGTGTTCCAAGCATCTTTCTGTGTTGTTATTCGGAGTGTCATCTGCCACATAGACCGTCGCGCTACTTTTTGTCGCTGGCGGCTTGGATGAGCTGGGACAGCTTCTGGCTGCTACAGAATGCAGCCGTTGCTTTGTTGCTTTCCACTTGTGTTCACAATACTAGTTTTTTTATTGTGCAAGTTTAGTAAACATGTTACTTTTAGGTTGACTAAGTGAAGTTCATTCCTACTAACATGGCTTTTAATTCATATAAATTTGTGCTGATTTTGTATACCATATCTTGCTCAGGTATCTAAACACTACAGCTTGGTTGCTTTTGTTTTCTGTTACTTAGGATAATTTTGATTATGAAACAATGGATGATCTTGTTAATGGAGTACTAACAAATGAAGAAATTATGGAGTATACTATTCACATTGAATCGCTACCTAAAGGGCCAATAGTAGTTCAAGCTGCTCCCGATCTCAGTAGTTTGATAGACTTAAATTTCCGACTTCTGTCTCGACAAGGTGGATTTTGTTTCTCATTGCCACCGCTTTATGCTAACTCATCATCCTTGGATTCTGAAATTTTAGCAGTTGGTCCGCAAGTTTTTGTCTCTGCATCGGCGAAAATCCATCACACAGCACGACTAATTGGGGCTTGTTTTATTGGACCCAAGTGTGAGGTTTCAGCTCATGCTTGCCTGATTGACTGCGTTTTGGGAGATAATTGTTTTATAGGCGAAAATGCGTGTTTACGTCGTGTTATCGCTTTGGATAATGTTCATATTTCTGATCATGTGAAAGCAGATGTAGCTTGGTTGTGTTCCAATGCCCGCATATTATCTGGTTTTAAACTTTCCAATAATTGTTTCATGGGACCATCACCAACAACACCTGTGACTTTAGGCCCAGGATCTGGAAACTTACCGAAAAATAGCATATTGGTGGCACCTCGTTCTGGTGACATAGTCTTGGATCCTTCAGTTGGTGGGGAACAGACATGGGCTACTTTTTATAGGAGAAGACAGCTATCAGAAACAGTAAGTTTCAATTTCTCTAAATTTTTTGTTAAAAGTGTCTTGCATCCGTAACTATAAACCGATGCTCGTACTTAATCTGAAGCTTTACTCAGCAGGGAATGTCTCGCAGTTACCAAACTATACGCAAACAAAATCATACCGGTTCACTGATTTATAAAAAGAACTTATTAAGTGCATTGGCAAGTGAAGTTATTTTTCTTATTGTTATCTTCAGTGGTTGAAGATTGTGGTGATGATTGTCACTAGTCGGAAGTGTTTTTCGACACCTTTTTTATTTAGCCACGTACTCCTGACTTCTGAAGGATCACTTGTCTAGTTAGCCAGCTAAATCCTGGAGTGGAACTTCAGCATACTTGATTCCGTTTCACACTTATCAAAAATGAAAACTCTGCAGGATTAAAATGCACTGCACTCATAAAAAGTGCTTACCTCACACCATTCTTAAAGGAGTGATAAGTGCATTTTTCTGCCCTACTGCGTGGTTGCGAAACATGGTTTTTAAATGTGGCAAACATTAGTAATACGGGTTCTCAAATATTGGTGTCTTCGTAAAGCATGTTACTGCAGAGTGAGTCCTAGAAAAACAACAATAAAGGAAATCGGTAGAATATATTGTAAATTTGTACAGATCGGGACTAAAATAAAACTCAAAAGTAGGTATATAAAAATATTGTGGTCGATTTATGGAGTCTAAAAAGTTATATATGTGATTAAAATGGTTTTTAGAGTGATTTAATAGATAGACGTGGTGACCACCGTATTAATCACATTTACTATGCATTGAATACAATAGATTTTAGAGTTAAAACGTTCTAAATCACGACATTTAGCAGATAAGAATAAATACCAACGATTTTGAAGTTTCAATTCCGGTCTAGCGAAACTGTCCCATTAATCTGTTGCGAGACAACAGATAAGAAGCCGCAAGTAAAAGGTTACCATTATTAAATTATTAAAAACACAAACTTGGTACATTATGGGCACCAAGAGATGCTCCACACTTAGTTTGTGCGATGGTTGGGTTACTTCTCGGTCGCGTAGACCAAAGCAGGTGATTGTCTTAAGGGACATAACCCCCCACTACTTGGAGTCTGATCCAAAACACAGTAGAGCAGCGTTGGGAGCTACCTTCCCACGATTTCCGGTGACCGAAACAGGTTCACGCGGCCTTTCGATCCTTTCGGATTCTGGAACCCACATACACCATAGGCTTGGAATCAGAGTTTTCCAGGCCCTCCCCCGAGGCAGACATGCATGTCCACCATTGCAGTTGTAAGCACCAGAAGTTCGCACACGTCCTTTCACTTTTGTGAAGAACACTCCCGCCTTGTGAAGGCAGTCAACAGAACTTACCTGTAGTAAGTAGTAATCTGAAAACACATAAGAGTGTTCCTAAATTAAATTACATTTTTATAAGTGAAGTCGGTAACTCTTAATAAGCACTTACATGTTTGCGAATTTTTACTTCTACGATCTTCAGCATTAAGTAATAACTAGTGCTTTCAACAATTGACCTTCATACTACGTTGGCGTTAGTTAAATGAATAGTAAATAAAATCTAATACCACTAAAGCCTTAGCCGTTAAGTACATTGATAGCATACATAAAAATATTAGCAATAGAGTTTTCGGAACATGGATTGATACTATTTAGAATGCGTTGTTGGTCTGTGAAATGCCATATGCTGCATCTATGCTTCCTTTGGTAGTAGGAGACGGAGTGGTCAGATTTATCAGCCACCTCAGTTTCCTGGGAAATAACATCACGGCTAATATGATAGTAACCGGAAAAACCTAATCGTGATGATAAACTTGTTGATTGTTCTTTTCCATAACACGTCAACTTGAGTACTGATGATTTCTATAATTAGTCGGGCTTGCTGAGAGGTAGTATCCACTGTCCTATTGAACAAATATCAAAATAGATCCATCAGGGGATTGATCGACCGGCAGACTGAAAGATTAGTATTGAAATCCATGTAGAAGTTGACGATTTCAAATTTCCAAAGACAGAAGTGTGACACAAATCGAATGAACTGAAGTTAAGTGAGAGTGCAGTGATTAAATATGAGTATGAAAGAACCATCAGATGAAAAATAATAAAATATTAATAATTTTACAGTCTATAAAGAGTAAAGATATTTGCATCGTTGTGAAATATTTCAAAGGTTTTAAACAACAGTCTCTAACTTCTGACTCTTAGTATCCTGAAAACGGCAGTCATAAACATACACCTCTCTCTATATGACTCATACTCCTATCAAAAGTGGATTACCCTCCATTAGCCGTACATGTCTCCTCCACTTTGTGACATTAATCACTATTTTTGTCTATCGTAAAGACAACTGAGCATAAGCTATTACATTATCATGTGATTTCGTGTAATGTTTTGGTTTCCTTTACAATCGGAAGTTGTCTGAAAATTGTAGTGATGTAGTCACTCATGTCGCTATATGCGGCGTATTGCATGTTTGTTTAAGAACCTAAGGATAACAGTTTAACTAGCGCATCCTGATATGAACATTTGATCAAAAAATGGAGGACTTTATACGACCTTATTTCTTTTTAACATATTTTGAATGTGTTGCAGTTTGCAAAAGTTAAGTCTTTATTGATGATAGTTAGTGGAAGTCAGTAAGTCAGTCGTTGAGATAGTGAATCTTCATTGTTTCAAGTAATTGAGAAGTGTATCACTCATTTTGATCGACCTGAATGTACAATACTGGTTGTGCAAGAGTGGATTAAAAGAAGGTTAGGAGTAGCAAACTGAAGATTCTATACCGACATATAAGGTCACATGAGTTGTTGGTTAATAAAAAGGTACATTGATGCCGTATTTTCTTTTAAACTTTAATATCATATAACAAAATTTACTTGTCTTCTAATGTTCATACAATTCGTAGTTGTTTTTATTTAATTCGTGATTTTTATCATTGTTAACCTCTACCTTAAATCGTTGATGTAAAGTGTGAATAATTTTAAACGATTGTGGGTTGTGTTCTGATTGTTATATGCTTTAACTGTAAGTAGCTTCCATATGGATTTGTATATTTTAATCATTGTTATTAACTGATGATCTCAGAGACACGACATGCAGACGTAGTTTATTTGAAAAAACTCCACAAAGTTCATCCGGCTACGATCCATTAGATTACGGCGAAAGAAACTGAACTGCTGACATAGAAGGGCATTTAAATAGTCGAGGGGGAATTTATTGTGATAACTTTCAAAATTATTTCTAAGTTTTACACTCAGCTTCATAGGTGGAAAAGATTTATTCTTTAAAACGAATTGTACCTAACATGTGAACTTATGTTTCATGTACTTTTTACTCCGACTGGTATATTGTAACTGAGTAGCTGTTACTCGTTAGTCTAGGCACTCAACTTCCGACCAGTAGGTCACGTGTTTAAATCCCGCTCCACCTAATGACGTTTAGACAACCACTAGGTGTAACAACTGCCTGGAATTGCAAGTGGTTGTTGAGCAACATTCACATATTGTAAAATGGACTTCATGATAATCAGCTGTAGTCCACCAACTATGTGCATATTACATTTGATGCTTCTACTAGGCTTGATGATACAGTATCTTTCGGTTGGTAATTGTATTCTACTTTAATAAGTAAGATAGCAATACTCACGGATACAACTGAAGCATCAGCTGAAGAGAAGTCAAGAATTCATGATTAGAAGAATCATTCGTGTTATGTTATTGCAGTCAATCTAAAAACAATGAACATTTAGGTTGTAAGGTGATTGAAACAGTCATTCAACACATTGTCACAGTCAAAAGAAGATCACTTAACTGATCAAACTGGTGTTGTTTAGCTGATTCGTCGACTTACTGACCTTAGTCTTATATGTGAGAAATTGTGAAGGAATATAACGATCAAAGCTGTTATACTTAAAGGAGGAAAAAACAGGTTAAGCCTTCACGCTGTGGTCGCTTCATGTGAATATGGTGTCTTCTCAAATATTTCACTCATAGCTTGTTTTGATTGTTTACTGATTACTTTTGATAGCAATTTTTATGAGTTTTTAACATATTTTGCTACTTTTTTTGTTGTTGTACCAGAGTGGTTCCATGGAAAATCTTTCTGAGGAGGATACAAAATCTAATCCATTACATTTATCGTCAAATAGTGAACTGGTAAACTCTTGCTTATGGGAGACAGCTTGGGATCGCATTAAGCATGCAGCTAAAACACGTCGACAAAAAATGAATCAAAGGCGTAGTTACAGTCGAACCAGTGAAATGCATTCCGGTAGATCTAGCAGACCACGTCGTTTAACTAGCGATATAATAGACAGTGATGGAGATGTAGACTGTCAATCAAAAGAGACATCAAAAATTGATAGTGATGTTGATGATGAGCAATCAGAAAAATTCATAATTACTGAATTCAAACGGACTTTAGAACGTGGTGAACGACATTCATATCCTGCTGAAACTATGATACTTGAAGTGAATTCTTTGAAACATGCTTATAATGTGCCCATAGAAGATTTTGGCTTTTTACTAACAAAGGCCTTATTGGATTTAACTCGGGATCATCTTTCTTCAGAAGCACAAAATGATTGCAGTAAAAGTAGTGTTGTAGAATTCATTACAAGTCTTCGTAAATTTCTGTCCAAGTTCAAGAGTGTCTTATCGTCGTGTATGTCAGGTTTTCAGAATACTGGTCGGATTTATCTTCAAGCTGTTGAAGACGCAGCATGCTATGATCCGTTAATATTTGCCTCTTCTATGTCTATTATTCATACACTTTATGATTGTGATTTAGTTTTAGAAGACGATGTCTGGTGGTGGAAAGATAATTCACCTCTCTTACTTGACGAGGATATTGCGGACAAGACTAAGTCACTAAGGGAAAAGATTAAACCCTTTCTTGATTGGCTTGAACAAGCTGAAGAAGAAGATGATGATGAGTGACAGTGGTGATAAGCTTTCTAGTGGCTTAAACATTGTAAAGTATCTTTATTTTCTTTGTATGCTAATCAAGTTATATTTTTACTATGCGTAGTATTAATGTAAAATAAAGGAAAGACGAAGAGGAGTGAACTTCTTTTAGACCCTAGTACTTTGACATTATTCAATTGTATATTGTTCTACCGATTTGAAGTAGCATTATAAGTGACATCTTGCCTTTCAAATGTTTGCGCCACAAGAAATACAACAACAGCATAATTATAGGGATAGTTAGAGATTAGTAATGAAAAAGACGTTTAGATTACTGAAATCAGTCACATTTAGATGTTTTCAGTTTAAGTTGAATTACTTCAGTGTCACTGTTTGGACTACAAGCTGATTTTTACTTGTTGGGTGGTTACATTTCATCTGTAATAAAATATCAAATCAACAAGCTGTGTGATCTATGGGATAAAATGAAGGAGTGATGACAATCAACAGGTGTTTATCCCATAGCACTAATGATGCTGTTGTCTCATGTAATAACCACCATTCTACTTCTCTCAGGTCGCGACGAAAAGTTTTCCTCATGAAGAATATTTAGATACGATGTATGAAGTGTTGTGAAGCTATTGAACCTCGCGTTTAACAATGATTTCTGGTGTTTAAAGAGAGCTATTCGGAATTAAGCATGCGTGTTACATAGTTTATCATAGTCAAACAATCAATGTAGTGCTATCAGAGAATGCATATCGAAAATCTACATCAAGTTTCTTCCATTTGTAAAATGTTTTTTCTTTGGTTCAATAGATCTGTCGATGAGCTTTCGATTTGACTGCTTCATAAGGACGGTGTATTCTTCGATATGAAAATAGCTGTTGTCATTCCACGATGCCAGTGTTAACCTTTAATAGGGTCATTAACCGTTATTCTAAATACTACTGACTTAAAATTGTAGTGCGTTTTGTTTTAGTGAGACGACGATTTTCTGAGAAGGTTCCCAAATAATTGAGCATTCGCAACTCAACAGTGGTTGTCTGCGATGACTTCAGTAGATTGCGTGTTCACGCTTGTCTAAAGTACGACATTTATTTTTTGCATCATTCACTACATCCTACTTACTTTAATTAAGTAGTAATAAAGTACATACCTATTTTTCGCGATTGCCTTTCATGCTTTTTATCTCGTATAGATGAAATTTCTAATCCTAAGCGAAGGGGAACTGGGATTTTTAGTGTTTTATAGTTCTCACAAGAGCCTAATGCATAATACAGCCGCAAAAAGTTGAAAGAGAAAATGAAAACATTTAATGAGAACTGTTTGTAACTGCCTTTGTCTTCTCTATTAAGGAAATTAACCCCACAAATTTGTATTAAACTTCTGTCTGTTATATTCAAATATTCGGAATGGTGCTAGTTAGGCAATCAAACTGTACATGGCAATGAAGTGGAATGTTAAGTTTCAGTGCAACACTGAATTAGTGCTGTTAAAGAAAAATCTATGAAAATCGAAGTGGCTGTTGTTTACTTCAAAATATCTCAATATTTAATTACTACTTTGAGTACATCACTTTTTACTTCGTGATCTTATTTATTGAAAATGTCTTTAACGGTTTGTAATGTGATTACAACCTGCCTATTTTCTTACACGAAATATTTTCTATTTATAGTAGAATAAACTTTCCTTAGGAGATTATTAATGATATTACGAACCTTAAGATGAAAGCCTAATAATAGTAGCTTTATTCCAAACAGTACTTTTGATACAAATATGGAATTTTCAGCGTGTAGTAAAGTATTGCATCTAATTTTCTCATTACAGGGGTAATAATTAAAATAGGGCATTTACATTGATAATATTGTTCAATAAGCAAATAAATATAAAATTAAGTGAAAATATTAACGACAATGTAACAATGAAAAACAGGGGCCGTTTACTTAGAGTTACACAGTAAATTGGTAATTTCCTGCTTTACACTTTTTCATCACATAAAATGTGTACTCAATAAGGTATTGTAGAGTTTTGTACTTAGTCGTTCGACCCAGGAAAGACTAAGGCGGGGGGAGAAGTAAAGAAGTATAGGCAGAATACAAGGATTAGAAAAATGTAACAGTGTAGACGAAGTGATACCAGATCGTCTTAACTTCCTTACGTAGAACGTCAAACGAAGTATTTTTCTGGAAAATAACATGATGTGGGAAGACCAGGAAAGGTGATCAGAGGAAATACACAGTTCACGGTATTTAACATTCGATTTATTTCCAACTTCTGTGCCATCTATGATAGTGGAACCGTGTGAACGAACCAGTTCATGTAAGTTGCGCTTGTAAGCCTGTCTCATGCATCTTATTCATGCGTCAAACATGAGTACACAGATTTTCCTATGAATGAATAAAATCTCAAATATTGCACTTAAATGTTTTAATCCCCTAAATCTATGAGTATGAAATTATACGAAGCGAAATGTAAGTCGTCTACCAAAGAGATTATATTTCACTAATCTACACTGACAATTTCTTTTTATGGAATTTTAATTATCCTATTGCAAAATGATATATTCTGGACTAGTTCGTATTCTTCTGATTTTCATCATCATCATCGCGCTAACTTCATTAACTTCGGCAATCAGTGGGTTAGGGTTTCAAATCAACAGGATAATATCACTAGATTTCTCATAGTAATTGTAGCTAATTGCTTAGTACATCAAAAATCTGTGCTGCTTGACAGTGGCATTTTTATTCACCGTCCAGTATGTAGGTTATTTAATCAGTGGGGGACGTTGATATTTCATTTTACAGTACAAGTAAATGAAGACAGAAGTCACATGATGTTTAAGAACTCCTTTTGGGATAATTACTAATCCAGTGATCATAAAGTACCTGAGATGAAAGTGCTTAATACACATCTTAATGTGACTACAGTTTTTAAATCTTCATGATAAAGACTAGAAAGCGTAGAAATGGTAACTTAACTATACTCTTGATATGAGAGATTCAACGATAAGGTTTCTTGTTGTTGTTTTGCCTAGGTATATAACTGGCTAATACAGCAAATCACCTTGTTACGAATATTTTTGTACCTAAGCTGTCTTATCTGTGGAAAGTATTCACAACGAGCATGACTAACCTATTCAGTTTACTTCCAGTAATTTAACAAAATGACGCACATAACTTTAAAAAAACAACAGCAACAACAAGGAAACCAGCTGAATTGTAACAGTAAAAGAAGCTATAGCTCTTTTCAGAAGTATGAATATACAAAATTTTCAGGAAAACGGTTTTGCATCTGATGATTTTAATACGGATTATGGTCAATTAACACCAAAGATAGACGGATTTGTGTTTTCAGTAGGTATACAATTAAGTAGGCACCAAGTAGAAGAGTATTAAGGCAGTGGTTAGTAAATCCGCAACCTTTTTGAAAATTTTACATTCATCTGTGTTATAAAATCCACTAAGGTGGATATGCGTTATTAATGTCGCCAAGATTTTCAAATATTTTAGTCCGGATAGTGTAAATGGAAAATTTGATAGTATTGAGAGAATGAAGTGGGGGAAGGAAGGGGGGTAAATTAAGTGCATAAAAAGCTTGATCCTATCACACTCGGTCGATACAGGATATCGCATCGACGCCAACACATCTTTCAGGGTTATAAAGCGAATTGCGAAGTCGTTATCACGTACAGTTCGCTTACGTCTCCTACACATATGAAGCTGTCGCAATATGATCCACTAACTAGACTGGAATTTTGTATCCGAAAAGAATACGTCCAGACGCTGTTCCTACCGTGGCCAAACTTGGATTAATGATTCTTCTTCTCACCAAGGGTGCCTCTTCCCCTTAACCCTCTTGGCTTTTTTTCTTTGACTATTATTACAGTTATTACTATTCGTCATAATTAATGCCCTTCATTCAAACATTCAATACTATCGAAATATTTTAGTTATTACTCGGCGCTATAGTACCGACTGAATGAATTTATCCTACGTTAATACGTTTGATTAAAATTACTTTCGATAATAAACTCGCCAGTTATGTGATATCAAACCATATCACTCACCCCTACTAGTTAGTGATCCTTAAACGTGATAGAAGAATATTAAGTTTTATAGTTCCTATCAGTATAATAAAGAGGCTGTTTTTTAATAGAACGCATCTTATTTCAAAAACTCAGCTTAATGTTTAATTCAACTTAAGATTTTCCCGTCGATTGATTGGATCGAAGTGCTCGGTCTCAGGTTGACTTCTCTGCTTCTTGTGCAGATGCTTCAACGATATTTGGGCATGTAATTAGAAGTTAATTAGTGGATGGTGACTGCACAAGAAGCCGACATGTCAACCTGAGACCGAGCACTTCAGTTCAATCAATCGACGAGAAAATCTAAAATTCAATTACATTATTAATATGACCCGTTGAAAAAAAAGGTGGCTTTTTTGGCCCAAGTGGTCCAGTGGGTAACGCTTTGTCGTTCGAAACTATGGGCATTGAGTCCAACCCTCGGTGGGAACATCATCACTCACTGTGGAATGCAGGTATATCCAGATGACGAGTTCCGAACAGGACGAAATGCGCATTCTGGATTCCACTGTTAGTCACCATCCACCAATTATCAGTTAAATGTTGTCGGTAGGCTAGAATAGTTTATGTAAAGCATGATTCAGTAGTAAATTTCTCAATGTTTTACAACATTGTGTAACGGCCGCAGACGAAAGACTTGATAAAGGGGATTTTACTTGGCATTCGGTATCTCATATAGCCAAATTATGTACACTTTATCTTCAATGCGCCATTTGCATAGATCTTCTGTGTTGTGCTACTTCTGACCTTCATATTGTGTTCCTTTCACGATTCCCATGTATCTCCGTAACCCTGTATCATTTGATTTCTCTGACATCAAATCCATCTCCCAGCTATTTGATGTTTTTATGCCGATAAACATCTCTTTATATATATATACTACTGATAGATGTTGTTAGTAGCAAACGTCATAATAGGCATGTTTTTATGTTATTCGAAAGATATA